AACATGAGTGAAACTCTGTCTCAAAAAAAAAAAAAAAAAAAAAGAATTGACAACATACCTGCACAAAATCAGCTTGACGAGCATCTAATGGTACAACCGAAGAATCATGAGATGCCAAAACTTCACGCAGCAACATGAGTGTCTGATTTAGTGCAGAACTTGGTCCGAGATCAGGTGGTGGGAGTTCAACCTAAAAGAAGAGATGATTTATCTACTCCTTATATTTTTCCACTAAATTTTAATGTGTAAATGTAAGTTAACAGTTAAAAAAATGTAAAATTACAAAGTATAGGTTCACGCATTAGATAGAAATCTATAACTTATTAATAGCTTACTTAGAGCTACACTGACAGCACAAAAAGTGAGAGAAAAGTTCTTTGTTAGATAATCTCAGAATATGTCACCTTGCACTCTAAAATTCAAAAAATAGTTTGAAAACTTAGTGTTTACTTGAATTATAGAATTATATTTTAGTATGTATTTAAAATGGCCTATTTTATTTTTTAGCCCAAATCATAAGAAAAAAGCAGTCCACAGACCAGCACTATCCCAATTATAATGTAATTGAGAAATATCACCTACTGTCAGGCCCAAATCTCAGAGATCTTAGTTATATGTATGTATAGGTTAGGGGTTCAGGAACTGACATTTCAACAAGCACCCGAGGAGTTGCTCAAGAAGGTAACCCATGGGTCACACATTTTGAAAATCACTTCACAGAAACAGTTTAACAATACCATTAATTTCTTGGGCTCTAGAATTAAATGAATTAAGTTCAAATCTTGGATCTATCACTTACTAGTTGTGTAACCTTCAGCAAGTTATTTAACTTTTCAGAGATTCAGATGGATTCTGTAAATATTAAATGAGATTGTTGCATAGCTGACTAGTGTGCCTTGCACTTATTAAGTAGAAGGTATGCCAAGTTCACTGTCCTTATTTGGTGGCACTATGATACATAAAAAGAAGTGCTTATGAATTTCTTTAAAAATATTTTCAGAGTACTTACAATGTTAGTAATATTTTGTAAATTAAAAAAAATAGGACTTAGAAGACAATGCAGGAGACTACAGCCTAGTGGTAGGTAGGTAGAAAGGTATAAGAATTTTTCAACATCAGCATTTATTAAAAGACTGTTTCATGTAGAAAGTTAATGCATAAGTTACTAACTAGTAACAGCAAAGTAAGCATGCCCATCTCCTTCATTAAAGTAACGAGAACAAAAAGCTAAAAAACATACCCCAAACATACAATATAGCCCATGCTGAGAAAAACACCTCAATAGAAACATTCCCTGAAGAAGCCCAGATGTTAGATTTACTAGACAAGGACTTTAAACAAGCTATTTTAGGTATGTTCAAAGACTGAAGGAAATCATGTCTGAAGAACTAAAGTATGAAAACAATGTCCCACCAAATAGAAGATATCAATGAATAATAAAACATAACCAAGTAGAAA